GTGCCAGTGCTGTGCGGCACCAAACATGACCGAAAGTATTCAGGAAAGCAGATACTGCCTGAGTTCTTGGCAATTGGACAGACTTAATCATAAATCGCTTCCCGATGAATTATGTCACAGTACACATCTGTTAAACTTTTCTTAGTCACACAACATCTTGCATTGACCTCACCTGTACTTCCTAACTTTTGGTCATACTAGTTTGTATGGTTTTTGGTCCCCACAGAAAATAGATGAGTCAAATTGGATCTTTGTGTATTTTTCAATCTGTAAATGTTTTCAGAAAATCGCAAAATTAAGTACCCATGAAAATAAGTAACAATAAGGTAACTGAATTGCACTCGACTGCACGCAAACCTAGACGGTTATACATTTTCGGGAAATTCATTTTAATGCCTGGTCCATGGTTTTATCAATTGGTGAAAAAAGTTCAACACCAGAAAAGTGTTTAGCTTTTCCAATCAGTGTCGTTGACAAAGAAAAAAATTACAAGAATGGCTTCCCCTCTCTCCCCCGATTTTTGTGGGGGTACTGGGGAGAGGGCTACCCCCCAAAAAATTGTAAAAAATGGGGGGTCTTTGTTTTTAAGTTTTGGGGTCTTAGCGGTCTTTGGGGGCCTTTGTTTTCAAGACACCCACTTGTTATTAAGTTGTGTACATGTACAGTGTATATAACTGTGACTCCTGGTTTGACCATCTGGAGGAAAGTTTTTCTAAAGAAGGTCAGGTCAAAATGTTTTGCCTGCCTATAAATCCTGCTGGAAATGTTAATGAAACCCCTGGTAATCGCAAGCAAAAAAATAATTACTAATAAATATTTTACTACCTGTAATGAACAAAATAATGTTGCTCTGTCAGTATACCAAATGCCTTATAGCGCAGATTAAATCAAGGCTGCCAGACATACATCGGGGGGAGGGGGAGGCAGTTTACTCCCTTATATGGGCTATATAGGTATGTGCGGCCCAAAATGGTAGGGTTTTTTCAGCTGTTTTGGTCATAAATAGGGTATCGATTTTGGCCATTTTGGGTATGGTTTTAGCACTCTAGTCTTGAATTGGGTTTGTTTCTTAGAGGAAGCTACCTTTTCACCTTTATTGATTAAACCATCAACAAAAGCCCTTGGCAACTTAGGTTTAGGGCTACTGTGTCAGCTGCAATGGTCATAAATAGGCTATCAAATTTTTGGACAGGTCATAAATAGGGTAGCAAATAATGCAGATTTTGGTTATAAATAGGGTAAGGGTTTTGGGAAGTGGGCCGCACACCCCCACCCAACTTTTCTGAAAGTACCCCCCCTCCCCTGGGACATACATGTACATATATCCATGTGTATATTGCCACACTTGTCTTCTTATTTTCTATGTACTTTAGGGATCACTCAAGAACCAAGATTTTACTGAATACAGAGACATATATCCTGAATATTCAATGATTTTCAATTATTGTAATTAGAGGTGAGTAGTGTTGTTGCATGAATGTCTACTACATCCACCTACTCTTACTTTTCTTAGTCTGCAATAGTTATTGAACATCTCATTGATGTGCGATGTGTTACAGTATGGACATATTTTGATTTACATAATGTGCAGCATTTCAAATTGATTTGCATTTTAAACTAGCAAGTAACATTAACAGTCTGTAGTTGTTTGTAAATGGTTTAATGATAGTCTGAAGTATTTGCATGAATTCCTGCAATTTATTACTCAGTTATAAACCCTTGTTCGCATGATATGGACACTCCATTCATGATGGCCTTAATGGACTGAATATTGATTCGAACTTATTTTTGCATGGCATATTAAGGGACATCAATCTCACTTGAACTTGATTCAAAACTCAGCAGAAGTAACATTTTTAAAAAGTTGATGTCTTCAATTTGTAACTTCNCAGTGTCCCTGGCCAGGGCTCGAACCTGGACGGCTCGATCTGTGGATGATCGTACTAACCATGAGGCCACTGCGCCTCCACTGCACCTCCACAACTTCTTAGTCTGCAATGATTATTGAACATCTCATTGATGCGTGATGTGTTACAGTATGGACATTTTTTGATTTACATAATGTGCAGCGTTTCAAATTGATAGTCTTAATGGACTGTACAAATGTATATTGATTCGAACTTATTTTTGCATGGCATATTAAGGGACATCAATCTCACTTGAACTTGATTCAAAACTCAGCAGAAGTAACATTTTTAAAAAGTTGATGTCTTCAATTTGTAACTTCGTTGTAAGTATTTTTCTGGTTATAACACAGATGGTGTCTGTGAAAGACTTGATGGAAAATGGCATTAACAGAATAACAATTCTTGTTACACTGTAAACAGGTTAAATACAAGGAGTTTTCTTCCTAAGTTTATTGTTTAAATTTGTGTTACTGCATAGTTGATAATTTTGTTCTGTTGGTTGCCATTTAGGAACATTCCCAAGATCAAATGATAAAAATGGCAAAAGCTGCAAAGAACACTACTGGTAGCAATTCAAATGATGACAGTGATGTCCCCCCCGAGCTTAGTTTCCACCTTCCATCAATAAAGGATATTCAAGCACCAATTAAGGATGGAAATGACCTGAACCTCCCTGTTGAAATTCTTTTGGTGACTGTCACGAACTGTGAGTTCATAGCTTGTTATATGCAGTTGGGAGATCCATTTAAATGCTTTTTCCATGGTATTGGTTATGTTTACTTTGGACATGAGGGTGCAGGACAAGAGAAGAAAGTGAATGTTGCTTTGATCAAATGTGATAAAGGTTCAGCTGGTCCTNTTATCACACTGTAAACAGGTTAAAAAGAAGGAGTTTTCTTTCTAAGTTTATTGTTTAAATTTGTTTTACTGCACAGGTGATAATTTTGTTCTGTTGGTTGCTATTTAGGAACACTCCCAAAAACAGTTGATAAAAATGGCAAAAGCTGCAAAGAACACTACTGGTAGCAATTCAAATGATGGCAGTGATGTTCCCCCTGAGCTTAGTTTCAGCCTTCCATCGATAAAGGATATTCAAGCGCCAATTAAGGATCAAAATGACCTGAATCTCCCTGTTGAAATTCTTTTGGTGACTGTCACGAACTGTGAGTTCATAGCTTGTTATATGCAGTTAGAAGATCCATTTAAATGCTACTTCCATGGTATCGGTTTTGTTTACTTTGGACATGAGGGTGCAGGACAAGAGAAGAAAGTGAATGTTGCTTTGATCAAATGTGATAAAGGTTCAGCTGGTCCTGGCGGCTCTCTTGTAAGTGTGAAAAATGCTGTCACTGTACTCAGACCCAAGGGTGTGATTTCTGTGGGAACCTGCAGTGGTCTGAACCCAGAGAAAACGAAGTTAGGAGATGTTGTTGTCTCTGCGAAGTTATCAACTTATGCAT